GCCAAGCTCATTGCCCGAGCACGCAAGGAGGTCGAGGTGAAGGTGAGCAAGTTGGGCTGCGACCTCAAGGACGTGATCATCATCTCCGCTAGCGACGCGGCCTATGCAGCCCAACCGAAGGGACATTCACAAGGAGGAGTCATGTGCATGATGGCGAACCCGAAGGTCCTGGAGGGCATCGCGCCGGTGGCCGTGCTGGAGGCGCAGAGCATGAAGATCCAGCGGGTGGTAAGGTGCTCCATGAGCGCCGAGCTCTCCATGGCGGCGGAGGCCTTCGAGCATGGGGACTTCGTGAGGGCGGTCCTGGCGGAGGCCCTCTTCGCGGACTTTGACATCCGCCGATGGAAGTGGTACGCCAGTCGCTGGTCCCACTACCTCGTCATCGATGCCAAGACTGGCTATGACGTCTTGAACTCGGAGGCCATGACCAGCGACAGGAAGATCATGGTGGACGCGGCCGTCCTACGTGAGGCCTTGATCGAGGAGGGCACTGGAAACTATGTGCGGTGGATTCCGGGCCGTGAGATGGTCAGCGATGGCCTCACGAAGTGGGGAGACAATGGGGTGCTCCTCCAGGTCCTCCGCGAGGGCCGCTGGTCGCTGGTGGACACCGAGGAGGCGCAGCGGCTGAGGCGGGAGGCGGCCGAGCGCAAAAGGCGCTACGCCCATGGCCGGACGAGCCCGCCGACACCGACTCCATAGGGGGTTTGTGTGAAGCCGGACCCGTCGGTGTCGAGCGGCGCCGTCGAAGGGCAGACCATGAGCCACGGGGCTCGAGTGCACAAAAGGGTGCGGTGCCACGTTTTAGTATAACATAGATGAATGGGAGGCATCCCCATATCGTTCCGTTTGCTTGATGTGTATGTCTGAGACTCCAAGCCCAAGTACCCTTCCGGCCCAGGAAGCATGCCAGCTAGTGAGCAGTCTCAGTGAGGGTTTGACAATAGCATCATTTAGAATGAATTTGCAGTAGCTCAGAGAGTGGGCAATTCCTCACCAAGACACACAGCAAGTTGCGCGCTGCCAGTTGCATGCCTAGGTCGCGGCCGCAATGAGGAGTGGGGATGTCTCAAGACGCTGCCCTGCTTGTCAACAAGCTGGTTGCACACCGCACCCTTCTCCCTAACGAACAACCACTGGCCTGTGACGTTCAGATGACTGATGCGTTTGGTTTGATGTAGTACTGTAGTACTTGTAGGTCTTTTTGGACTTGGTTCTTGACTGTTCTGAATCCAGCCCAAGTCAGGAACTCAAAAGCCTCGTTGTCCGGACTCTGGAGACCAACGGCCACTTGCCCTGTGAAAAGCAGTTTTCCGGCAAAACCCAACACGGACGTTCCGAGGAACGTCCCAGTGCTACTGCCAGGGTCGCTTGAACCATGTCGGCATCGGAGGGAACGGACTCACACACACAGATGAGTAGGGGAATTGTAATGCATCCTCCACCAAAAACTACAACTCTCCAGCCGCTAAAAAAACACCTCAGTGTCTTCACGACTGGATGGTCGGTGTTGCCAGTTGTTGCCACGCCCAAAGATCCATCGCTTCGCCCACGTGGGCCACTCGTGTTGGCCACTTGCACCGGTGGCACCATCCCAGCATTTCCTGTTCAGCTCCGGTCAGTTGGGGCTGGACCAGCAACATCTACTGACTCATTAGCAGTGTGAATGCATTCTTCTATGAGCCCTGATCAGCAGAACCTGCTTCTGATCATTCTGATCAGCAAAACGCACCACATCAAAATGAGTAAGAATCTATGACTTCACAAGAACTGACATATGACCTCTCTGGCCGATAGAACCTACAGCTTCAAACCAGGGGTGAGAACTGACCGTTGACCACCCGGACAAGCAACTGGTGAGGCCATACTACTTGTATGTTCGGAATATCATGGATATACCTCCTCTCCAATTGACCAGCTTTCGTTCACCCTATTCTGTCCAAGGTTTTTGGGGTGGTGCAGGATGGACTCGTCCATCAATGTGGTTCTATCTAGTCTTTGTAGACGACTGGATAGCATCACCGCCGCCTAACAAAGATCAGCCGATCTCGCAGGCGTCCTTGGACAAATTCGGGCGGAGCTGCGAGCGAATGTCTACAAGGCCCGATGCTTTTTGATTGCTGGAAGGATTGGCGAATCTATTTAGCGCAGCTGGACTTCCCAAACCCGAAAGCTGAGTCAGGCACTTGATTCTCCCAGCTTTTGTAGATATACAGGGAGCTCCACTGGTGCACGGTAGGAAATTCATCCAGGTATAATTTATGTAAGTTGATGTTTGTTAGCACCATCCGCCTATCAGTTCGTTTGCTTGGAAGAGATCGACAGTTTTTTTGCAAGCGTTGGACATTGGAAGAGAATGTGGATTACAGTGAAGCCACCTTGGAACACTTGCAACTGGTATAACTTGAAGTCAACACTTGTCCCCGGTTGAAGAGTGTAGACAAACACCCTGAAAAGCCGTGCCTTGTCTACTTAACGATGATATAGGATGTGGCCAGGATGGAAGTATCAGGCTTTGGCTTCGTTACAGAACGGATCAAGAGGGTATTGAACTGTTCTCCAAGGTAGTAGATCGCCCCACTTTTTGGGGCGACTTTTGGACAAGCCATCCATGCCTGTCGGGTAGGCCATTGACTGCGACGAAGACTTCGGCGCTTCAACGGCGGTCCGCTCTGCGGGGAGCTCGGTGGGGTAGAATTACTGTAGGTGCTGACTTCTGAAGAAAAAAATGAGCTTGAGCTTTGAGAGCTGTAAACTGTAAACTGCATAAAACTGTAAACTTGGACATTTTGGGTGCCTCAAGAAGATTTCCCCTATCTTATGCTTTTCTCCAAGAGAAATCAGCAGGAAAGTGCGCTGCAATTAAGCCGTGTGCATTTGGGGCCGACACGTTGCAGTTCGTGCTGCAGTCCTTCTTCTCCTTCTTCCTCTGCTAAGTTGCCAGTGACACATCGACCAAGTGAAAAGCAAACGCCTGCCAAGAAAACATGCTGTCAGAAAATGACACAGGAGCCAAGGCCGACAGCAGCAAGAACAGAGGCAGAGTGCAGAAAGCCTCCAGAGGGTTGTGCTGTGGAGCCTTTGAAAGATTAGGGGGCGTAAGGCGCAATGTGTTGGTGTCATTCTCCAATCTGTTAAAGACACACCTTATCAAGCAGGTGCACCCGAGCGCTCCAGGTGGCAAGCTTTGATTCCGCCCAGGGTGATTTGATGCGCCCTCTTTATATATGCTGCTGTGAACTGTTATATTATATAGACTTGAACGTGTTTGCACGTGGCCTGGACAAGCAGTGAATCTGGATGTTGCGGAGCAGCGGAGCTCAACTCACTTGCTCATTTGACTGAGCTGGCTGAGCATTAGTTCCTGTACGGGAGTGCGTTTTGGCATATCTTGGGCCTTTGTCAGAGGTGAACAAAAGAAGCGAAGGAGCGCAGATTGGACCTTTTGCAGAGCATCAATTCTTTGTATTTTGGCAACCACAGCTCTCTGTTGTTGCTACTAGGGTTCCTGCGGGGTGACATCGATAGGGCAGCAGCTATGTAGCCTTAAGGGATTGCGCAGCGCAGCGCAGGCAGGCCAGGATTGGCAATGCCCCTGTGTCTTTCCACGATTCGCTGAAAGGAATATGGTGTGCAGCAAAAAAAGGCATCATACAGATTGTGTTATTAATTAATTGATGCCTGCCTTTGTGGACTGAGGCCAAGTTGACAAAGTCACCAGTGGGTCAGTTGATGGCTGAGATCGTCCAGATCTTATTTGGCTTTGTTTGAGTCAAGAGACTTCGCCGTGTTCTTCCATCGAAATGCAATTTTTGATTTTCTATGTATATACATATATATATATATTTTTAAATACAACAATGTCTCTTTTGGAAAAACTCCGAAGCCTTCTGTCGCCCAAGTCAAATTCAGAAGCAACTTGCGACTTGTGTCCACATCTGAAAGGGCTTTTGGCACTTCGAGGAACGTGGTGGTTCCATCACCCGAGTCAAGTGGGTGAAGGGGGCTCTGTCAGCTATAAGTCCGCTGCCAAAGCCAAGGTGGCCGAGTTTTTTGAGTTCTACCAGTTCAGGCGGACACCTTTCGGGTTTGAGGAACAGTAACGCGATCATTCAACACGTTGACAGTGGTGACAGAGGTGACGAGAACGAGAACTGAACTTAAACCAAGAAGCTACTGGTAGCTCCTGGCATCACTGCTAGGAGCAAGGACGCTACTAGGGGCTCCTGGCCTCACTACTAGGAGCATTCTTGCTACCAGTAACAATTGCGTTCAATCCTCATGCTCTTTCGGCGGAAGAAACAACGGGGATCTCTGTGACTGAAGATCCGACAGATCCATGTGACTGAAGATATACTTCTATGCACATTCATTGAATGGGTCGAAGGCGGATTCGGATCCCACGAGCTTTGTGTTCTCACGTGCTTTTATTCGTGTTCGACCACGAAGATGTTCAAGTGGGTGTAGATCATCAGGAAGAGCGCGGGTGGCCCTTGTTACTAGTAGCTTCTTGTTCCCAGTAGTAAATTAGCTACTAATA